CCCCAAAACCCCAAAACCCCAAAACCCCACGCTTTTACATAATTATTGTATAATATTAAATCAATAATGTTCGAGCCTCTGCCCTTCTTTAACGGGAGACATCTGAACTACAGTCAGTTCTTCTTCTACCTAATCTCACTACTGATTTTGATAATCTTCGTTGTATTCGGAGGCATTGATCTAGCCCTAAATATCACTGTATGGTCCATCAGAAGGAAGAATAGTCGAAGAATATTCAAGAGAAGATCGTCTGATGAAATGGAGGCTGGATTTACTCCTTCGTTGAATAGAGAAAATGAAGAAAGCCAGGATCAGGATGACTTGCCTATTAATCAATCTCGAAAATCCTCCAAGACAAAGTATCATTCTCACAAAAGAGAGGTAGAACGAGAAGAGATGAAGAAAGAGGTTGAGCTTCAGAAAAGACCAAACAGTTCTGAACTTTCTCAAAACCCGAAAAGGGATTCCTTTTCGGCAAACAGTCATGAGGACCCTGATGAAAATTCACCTCTGAATGTTGTTCACGACTCTCAAGATCAGGATGAGGGAATAGATTATCTGAAAAGAGATCCTTCTGAAGTCCGAATTCTTTACTATTTCATCATCTCTTTCGAAATAATCTTAGCAATATTAGTGCTCTTTTTCTGGGATGTGATGAATTCTTTTGGTGTCATATACCCAGGAGTGCTATCGCTATTCATTAAAAGCTTTATAGTCCTGGCATTCATACCTTTAATCACCTTGAGATTTTATTTCTTATATCAGGCTCCCAAAAAGTATCTTAATCCTAATGTTTCCTGGAAGATCAAAGGGCCTCTGCTCGGATTAGTAGTAGCAGGGGTGTTCCTTTATAATTGGGGAGTAATGTATTTCTGGAGAGGAATTTGCATTGCTAATCATAATAACGATATCAGAGGATTCCATTTCTCCAATTTTGGCATCACAACAGCCACCACGAGAGGTTGGTACCATAATACTTGTCCTGATAAGGATAGACCCTGCTTTGTGTACATAACATTACCTGAAGATGCACTTGGAAGTATCTTTATAAACTACCATATAAATCTTAATGCTTGAGATGGAGAATGAAACCCTAAACTTGAATACAGTGAAGTTGACACTGTAGACGATATTCCTAATATCCAAGATTGGAACATTTGAGAGGAAAATGTTAAAGGGGAGTATAAAGTTCCTAGTCACGAATCCTTTGAAAGAAACATTTTTACATGCTTACTGAAAAATTTAAAGGAATCTAAAGTCTATGCTTTTAAGATCACTCAAGATAATTGGGATGCACAACCTCAAATATATTATCACCAAAACTTTAACACTCAAAGCATCAAGATTCTCAATGGGGGAGATATCGGTAACACAAAGCTAGCACAAGATATGCATAAAAATTCCGTTGCAGATTTTGATGCAGATATAATCCTTGTTGGTGGCGATGTATCATATGATAACAACTTTGCAACTTGCTTCTATTGCTATGACCATCTTATGAAGAGACTTCCTTACTTAAGAAATAATTTAGGGGTCGATGCCATCAAGGTTATTCCCTTTATTTTTGCAGTTGGCAATCATGACCTTGGAATTAATGCTTACAGTGGAAGAAATTTATCTATAGACGAAAATGATTCAAGGCCCGTGTTCAAGCATTACTATCCTCAAAACACCCATATGGATGGGATCCCAGACAGAGTGAACAGGAGAACATTTTATTCAAAACGGTTCGGGAATTCATACTTAATCTTATCTCTCGACACTGGATATGAAGTAGAAATGGCTGAGCAAGTGGACTTTATTAAAACAGAGCTTGATAATGACTACACTTACAAGTTTGCCATGTATCACCACCCTCTTTACTCTGCATGAATGAAGGGGGAGAAGTATAAGCCAACCGAGCAGGGAAGAACTCTCTGGGTCCCAGAATTTGATAGATACTCGCTCACAATGTCATTCGAGAATCATGTAAACAAAGAGTCTAATATTTAGGTTCACGGGTTCAAAAGAACCAAACCTCTTAAAGGGGGAAAAGTAGCTGAAGGAGGAACAGTTTACATTGGAGATGGCAGCTGGGGACCTATCATAGGTGATTGTAAGCCCAACAACAGAGATTTAATGGACAATAATAAGAAACTACACCATGTATGGCATCTTGAGATTGAAGGAAGTAAGCTCAAAGGATCTGCATTGAACAATTACGGAATGATAATTGATGATTTCACCATAAATGTATAAATGTTTTGCAGAATTCAATGCTGGAATTACTTTTTGGGGTTTTGGGGTTTTGGGGTTTTGGGGTTTTGGGG